CCTGCCAAAGTAATGGCGGGGGTTGTACCCCCTTCCACCTTGTCCCCCTCGTGAGCCATCCTTCAGGCTGTGCATCCTCCCCCGGAGGGGCTGTGCAGTCTCGCTGTGCCGCCTCCTCTCACATCAGCCGTTCTCGGGATGCAGTGATCCGGCAACAAGGAAACACACATTAACCCAGGGTGCCCTTTATTTGCAACCCTTGGTAATGTTCCCTTCTGTTTACTGCTTTCCCTTTTCCCTCCTCGGTTGATCAGGGTAATGAAAGAATCAATCACTGCCGCCCCGTTCGTCAGAGCCTTTCCAGGGCTATGCCAATCAAGGAAAGAGAAAGAAAAAACACCCGAAGGTGAAGGCCTTTTTGTTAAGGAGCCTGGCAGAATCAGTCAGAACTGGAGGAGAAAAATAGTGCAAACACCCTTTCTTAAGTAAAAGCGTGCAGGATTTGCTCTCGAGCTGGCGACCTTGCTTGTGGGAACCAGGCGGCCCAATCTGATATTGCTATGGAGAGCCGTCGCGGTTTCCCGGCGTGTAGGTGGTTTTCATGTCACGCAGAGACAGCGAAGTCCGTATTTAAAAAGCCAGACGTTTTTGCGTTCCCCCTCTTTCCTTTTCCGATGTTGCTTTGTGCTCCCTGGGCTGGCACGCAGCCACCGGCCCTTGATGCCACGTGGAGATGGGGGCTCCTGATTTCTCACCCGGGCAGGTCACGAGCTGAACCGAGAGTCGGGCGTAAGCAGCAGATCGTGCCGTTTTCTCCCAGCACAAGCCATAACCCTTGAAAAGAGATCATTGACATTACTGCATTATTACAGACAAAGAACGCGAGCTTGGGAACAATGCATGGGTGGAAGATGGCTTCGTTTATTCATCATAAATGAGAGGGCTCAAAAGCATAGGCATTTCACTGGGAATGACAGAGTGAGTTGGTATTTTATTTTTTTTAATCCAACTCACAACTATACAACGGATCCCCCATTTTTCCAGCCAGGAATATGTGTTTTAAGCCATAAAAATGTCAGACTACAAGATAACGTGGCGTGCAACATTTTAGATATTGGCTGTTTTCCAGGCTGGGGGCTCAGTGAATTACATGGCAAAACTCCTGTAGACAATGGTGGTTCAAGATTTTGGAGAGGGGTTTCACTGTGGATGCAATAAGACAACAGATAAAATTCCTCCTGGCTAGTTCCCGACGGCTTTTTGCACTAAAATGTCACAGGAAAGAGCATCGCTAGGGTACAACCAGTTATTTGTGCTTCTTACTTCCAGGGACAGTATGTCCTGGTTCTCCAGTCAGAAAAGAAAATCAAAGAGCGGCTTGACGTTGAGCCGGTACCGTATTTATTCTGTTGGCTCTGAGAAAAATACATAGTAGAGTAGAAATGTTCAGGGCTGGCTGCTGCTCGCTCTTGCAAAGCCTGGAATAGCCCACAATACCCAGAATTGCTTTGGACCGATTCCTCCGGTACAGGCATATAAGCAATATAGCAGAGGGGGAAGGTTTTTCTTGCATGTCAGCTGCTATATGACGACTGCCCACATGCAGGCCATTGCTCTGTTGGAAGTGGAAAGTGAAGTGTCGTGGCATACATCTCTTGCACTGAGGTCTAAGCTGTCATGGTTTATCTTCTCCTGCCACTTCCCGGGGGGATAAGCAGGTAGCAGTGGATGGCCAGTGAAGCCCACCTCCTTTTTGCCTCCCGTTATGTCCATCTTCACGTCAGCACCAAGCCCTTGCAACATTGGGAAGGCCATCCCCGATGACGGCAGTATTTAGTGTTTCACGGCTTCTCTTTGTAAGCTGCCGCGGGTCTGTAGCGTGTAAAGAGACCGTCGCCCATTGCCCTTCTCGGTGCGATCTGTCCAGCACCGGACTCAGCATCCCTCTCATCTGAAAAGTTAATCCACGAGGTTGCTTTTGTATCTGACTGCATAAGAGAAGCTGCTTTGGGTATTTTCAACTCAGCCCTGACTTCGGAGAACGCGGAGTCATCGCAACGTCCTTTCGTGGCTGTTCGAGTCCTGCCGAAGAGGCAGCCAGTTGGGTTGGTTCGACATCACTTATGAAAAGTGCCTAACAATACCGAAGGTGGTGCTGCTGCTGTACTGTTAATCCCCGTGGCTTTTCCAAGATGAAGTAGTTCAAATAAATCCAATTGCTAGGGAGCTGTGCGCACGTGCAGGTGGACTTGTGTTTGGACATGCAATATATAGGAGCTTTTTGAAGGGGAGGGGACCACACGTGTCTTTCCACCAAGTGTCCGAGCCCTCATCTTGCCTGCCCTTTGAAAAGCAGTGGGTGCACTTTGCAGGCTGGATGCTTTTGGGACTGATTTCTCCATTTGCCATCACACAGGCATTTCCTCTTTTCAGCTTCTCGCCTCCTGAAGCCATGCACGGAGCGAACCTGTGGCTGCTGCCTGTTTCCATTCCTAATTCCCTTTCTAATTTGCACTTTTTGGTCGAGCACCTGGTGTGCATTACAGCAGCTACCGTCACTGCGCGGCTCTCCCTCCCACTATGCCGTTCATGCACCATCTGTTGATCTTGATTTCCTGTTATTTATGTTTCCTGGGTATATGTAATTTGTACTTGACTTTCATTAATTTTTACCACCAAGGTGCTTTTGCTCCTGGAGGCTCCTGCTTTGTAACCTGAAGTGCGGTGCACGTTTCTTCCCCCCTGTCGGCCTGTCCCGTAATTCAGCTCTCCGTGGGGTCCGAGTTCCTCGGCTTCCTTTTTATGTTTCAAAAGGGTAAGGCCGGATCGACAGTGTTGTTAAAGGACACAGCTCTTAGGCATTTAATTTGAGGGTTTTTATTTTAAATGCAGAGTTTTGCAGAGCTGCCGGCCCCGCTGGGTGAATGCAAAGCAGAGATGTTCAGAGTCCTTCATCATATGCAGGTGCAAACTATTTGGAAACAGCAGCCTCCTGTCAGATCTCTGTTCATGTCGTGTATATATTCCAGGGAGAATAGTCTTCCATTCTGCACAAGCACAAAGGCTGTTTGTGGCATTTTAACGTGCTCATTATGCTTGCCTCGCATCTCAGGGTGTAGCTCTGTTTTACGGCATGACTTTACCAACACAACTTTTCCATGGACGCTTAAAGGCTTACAGCTGTGCAGATGTGCAGTTAGACTGGGTTGCTTTTCTCTCCCCCTATCCTAAACATGTGTCCAAAATGCAAACCAGAGCTTCAGGTGGTCCCAAGAGAGTAGCAAGCGATGTGCCCCTTTGCATTTTCACTTTACGGAGAAATAGAAATGCTCAAATACCACGAGGCAGGTTGTATGTTTTCCAGCAATGCAAAGGACCACAAAGCCCGTAAAAGTTCCTGTTCTTTTGAGACTTTCCCACCCCAGTCTCTAAATACCGGAGTTAAGTTTCAGGCAGGTATTCATCATCTTTAGGTCATACCTAACCGTACGAGAAGGTCCATCATCTTGGACATCGTGTCAAGATGCCAATGCAGTATATATAGGGCCAGACACTTCATCTCCTCCTTGGGTTATATAAAACCCTCTTCCATTCCAGTATCCAGCCATATCAGCAGTTTTAATTGAATTTTTTTGTTCTTTTCCCTCTCCCTCTCGGAGAGAAGCGTTGGCAAAAGGGCTCGTGAGAAAAAAGGAGTGGATTTGAAGCAGCAAAGGTTGCAGTGCTCTGAAACTTGGGAGAAATGCTTTCTGTGTTTTTGAAAAAAGGATAAAAGAGCGGCCGAGGCGAGGAGGAGAGCAAAGGAAATCGGGGAGAACTGGAAAGAGCTCGCTAATTATCCAGGAGGTCCTGTAAGGCTCTCCCCTGGGAGTGGAGCCAAGGAGACATTACAATGCCAAATTGCAGGTCTCCTACACCTGCACGGAGACTAACAGCCTTTTTCGCTTCCTCGACTGGATGACTGCTGTAATTAGACTGCTCTCAGGTTTAAAACCCTGTCGGGAAGCAACTGTACCTAAGAAGGGCTCCCCGCCGGGGAGGCAGAATTTCTGTGTTTCGCTAACAACAACAGCGATAATAAGCTGAGAAACAACCCCGAGAAGAGCAGGTTTCCCTTCGTATCTCTGTGCCCGTGCGCCGTCAGCACCACAGGCCGCGTGTGCAGTGGGAATGGCGCTCGGTCACCGCAGACTTTGCGCTAGGACTTGAGGAAACGATCGAGCCGTCACTAACTCATAAGGAAAGAAGGCTTCGCGGTGCCGTTATTTGACACGAGGCTTTGAGGAGAGTGGGTTTTGGCGGCTCGCGGAGCTCTGCTTCTGCCAGGTTTTGTTTAAAAACCCGGGGACCTTCGAGCTGCAGCGGGAGGGCAGGTTTTGCAGAGTCTCATTCAGGCTGGTGCTTGGCGCCTCTGAAAATCCCATCCTTGGTATTAATGACTATTGGAGGATCCCAGTTAAAACACAGGAATGAGGGTTGACTCGCTGAGCACAGTTTGCATCTCCCATCCTTGCATCCTTCACCAGGGTTGCATTTCGGCTGTGGCTGCTGATGATTTCTGCATGCTGGAGAGGCACACCGTAACGATCTCAACCTTTCCACGCATCGCACGTGGTTATCTCCTTAAGAAACGACTATGCTTGTCTACAGAAAATCCCTCTTCTGCAGAAAATAGAAGCTTTTCAGCAATGCTATTGTTTTGGGCTCCTGATAGAGAAGGCCATGCAGGGTGTAATATGGGTGCCCGGCACTTATAACTGCATACGCTCATAAGGAGGGATGAATCTGGAGCATGTAAAGCCTCCTGGTTCTGAGCATCTTGTTCAAAATGAAAATAATAATAATAATTTCATGATTTTAACAGTTTTTCCCCCTTCCCCCCAAATTAGGGCTGGAACAGAAGGGGCACAGCTAGGCCCAGACCCCTGGTTTCAAATTCACTTAAATCTGTGTGCCCTTTGCAGATGTCTCCAGAGGAGCCGGCTGAGACCAGCTGCCTGGCTGAGTTGGGTTTCTAACTTTTGCGGTCTTCTTTTTTTTTCTCCCCGTCTCTGTTGCAGAGGGACTGGCTGTTGGCGTTGGATTTGGGGCCATCGGGAAGTCGGCATCTGCCACCTTCGAAAGTGCCAGGTAAGCGCCACGTGCGTTTCTGAACCAATCCTATAAAAGCCTCTTGCCTCTTAGAAACCTTTTGCTATTTGATGCTCAAGTTTTTCGGCCCGGCCTAGACTGATATAAATCGATTCGGGAAGCAGCAGTGCAAGAAAGGTGAGCAGGAGGAAGTCTTATCGCTGACTGCGCTTGTCCGAGACCAAGTGGAAAAGTTGGTTGCTGATACCCAGGCGCTGGAAGTGTTTTCTGTTTCTGCATCGGCGGGCTGATAAATGGAGCTGAGCGGACAGATGAAAGGAAGAAACTCAGACAGAACAGGATGCACCTGTTTATGGGACGGGTGGGCTGGCGCTGTTACTGGAGTTTCACTTCTTGCTAGGGGCCTAATCCAGCGGGCTCCTGAGTACAGTCAGATCCTATAGGGTTGGCATTGCCTGGGCTGTGCCAACCCTATGCAAAAAAACAGAAACCCAAGTTCACTCTTTGGGGTCTCCTGTAGCACAGACACAGGCCCAGGCCATCGCGCCGGTAGAGCGGGGTCATTTTAAAGAGGTGATGTGTTTTCTGAGTGGGGTTTATCCCCCCAAAAGGAAAATGAAAGGGAAGTTTTCAAGAAGAAAAGTCCCTCCAGTACCCAAACGGGACCAGGAGGGGTTTGTGAAGCAACGATGCTCAAATGCCTGGCCTAGCGCATGCACGCTGGGATGCGTTGAGCCAAAGAACAGCCTCCGCTTCCCCAACACAGGGCGACCCTTCGGGAGGATTCACACATCCCATCAGGGATGAATGGGGAATGCATGTGGATCTCGCTTGTGGGAGATGAGATTGTTTTCAAAGTGGCTGCCAAATTTTTCCGCCCCCCCCTTCCCTTCCCCCTTTAGTTGAATATCACTGAACTCCTCCTTATCTCCGCTGAGCTTCGCTGGCCTGTCTCCAGCACGGAGGAGTTTGATGTGACGAGGCTGAAGTGCTTGCTGCTCCTCCTACTCCGGGGGGTTTTAGCATTTCATTCATCATCTCTCACCGAGATGGCAGTCTGTCCGTCCTCTCCCGGGATGCGGCTGAGCAAAGGTGGTGAGGCTGGCAGCTTCCCATTAAGGGGAAGCTTTATTACCTTGGAGCCTGGGGGAGAGAGTCCCTCATTTTGTTCACAAGTGTGCAAAACGTGACGCCGTGGCTCTGCTCGCTTCGCTCCGTCTACGTCTCTAGCCTGCTCTTGTGGAAATACGGTCCCCCGAGGTGCAGCGGGGGCAGCGGTGATTTATGGTGGCACTGAATCTATTTGACATCATCGGTCTCCTCTCTGAGTGTTTTGCTGAGAAGATCTTTGATAGCATTAGGCTGGCTTCTTTCCTGTTTCAAATTGCCTCTTGTTCCTCTCCACTTCAAATTTGCCCTGCCTTTGGTACCCGTGTAGAGCCGCTCTATGCGACGTGATGGCTAAACCGTGGCAGAGCAGCCCATCTGGTCTGGTACCTGGAGCTACATGGATGGGAGACTTTTGAGAGGAAGGCAAAGCTTCAACGTAGGTAGAGAAAGCTGAGAAATGGGCAGATCTGCCGGCTGGAGGATCAGCCTCTGGTTTCCACTGCTGCTCTTTTTCCTTCTTTGCAGCCCCTGTCTCCTCCACCCACCACCTCATCGAATTAGAGAGACGTATGCTTCTAGTTCAGGGTTTTTAGGAGAATTAAAAGGCAAGCGCCAAGCCCCCTTGTCTCCGTAATGCATTTGGCTGAGGCCGTCTTCAATGGAGCTGTCGCATCAGCTCTCCTCCCTCCTTGAGGGGCTCGGGCCCGTCGCTCCTGCTTTCTTGCACCCTGATCCGCTAGACAACCTGCAAAATTGCTTTAGTGATATGGAGAGAGAGAGTGCGTTGTGTAACCTGCTGGAACAAGCCCTAATGATCCTAGGGATCATGGGGGTAAAGCTAGTTTGATAGTCTTGGCTGGATTTTGCATGTCCTTTTTTCTAACCTTTAGGAATAAAAGACTCCTCGTAAAGTCTGTAGAGACTCCAGAGATGTGTTAACAAAAGGGCTTTTTCTTTATTGACTGCTTGGTAAAAGCAAAGAAGCTCGAAGCAGCTGGTTCTTTCTCTGTATTTACAGCAGCATTCATCACGTTAGATGAAAGCTGGCACCTTGGCCCTGCAAAATACCAAGCGCAAAGTTAGTGGGCCGACAAAAACCACCAGTAACTCCATTGCCATCGATCTGTTTAACAGTGTCATCTGCAGACAGAGTGAGATCGTGCTGGATCCAATCAGTCATCCTTGCACAAATGCTGAAGGGTCCCAGGGTTGAGATGTTTAAGTCACTGCTGAGCCCTGGAAGAGTCAAGCGATGCCAGACTCTCAAGTCACCGTGCGCTGTAGGGAGACGAAGCAAATGGAAGTTGT